CGTTCATTTCGGTTGTTCTTTTTATTATTAAACAATAACATTTATACTTTAGCAACGATTTTCACTATGACATAAGAACATGGGTTATTTCATATTAGAAATACCCCGGGTATCTCATATTACGATTTCCACGTCTTACGGTTTTACGATCATCAAATCTAACTTCTGCAATTAAGCAATTCAACATATCCCGTATTTTTCTATTAGTACGACCTTACTCTATCACTACATGAAGAATTTATTGCCAAATATTTATTTATTAAATAATAAACAAGGTTTAAAAGCTCATTTCAATGAAACTTGAAGACATCCAAATTCTAAAATCTTTTTTTACAATGACTACAGGCATGATTTAATAATGAACTTTCTACTAAATAGCTTTCAATCCAAGAGCAATAAATTCATGGTGGAACCAATAGGAAGCGTTTATTAATAGTTTATTAATAGTTTAGCAGAAACGCCGCTATCTCATGTTAGGCGCCTATCTCATAATAGGGGGCTTTCCTCTAAATTATTATATCTGTGAATTTATATATATTCTTTACATATTTCTTTATATTTCATATTCATTTATCAACTACGTTGTTGAAGATGGTTCAAATTTGGGTCAAACGTTGAACTTTTATGTTAAATATTCTTTATTTTATCAAACACAGGATGGATCATTTTAATTTTCTCAAAATCTGTAAGTTTAATATACAATACCTAATACAAGGCATCCGACTGACGGTTAAAACCTTTTAAACCTTTTCAGAGTCATGATCTTGACACCATATGCCAAAGTCAATAAGTCTGTTAGCGTTGCTTGCACTTTTGGCACTCTTGGAAAACACCCTATAAAAATTAAAAACTCTGAATGATATACGCGACTGTTTTGACATTTGTTTTATTCTAAACGTAGATGGATCAGTGGAAACTCGAAACTGCCGCGAACGGCATTGAAATAATATCGAAAATAAAGAAGAATGATATCTGATGCCGATAATCTCGAATGAGGTACACATTGATTTTCTTTTCCTCGTCCTTCATCTATCCTTCGCTATCGTCGTTGTCACGACGGCAGTAAACGAATACAACGATTAAAGTCCACGTGCTTGGTTAGGTACGATCAGGATCTTAACGTCAAGTTGGCGTGAGCCTTATCTGAGAAATGCGAGAGCCGTCACCTACATCTCGTCCGCGTACCATCGGTTTCGTAAGAATCGCTTGATTTTTGAACGACGGTACTCGGTTTATTCGGTTGCTTTTACTAAAGTTCATGTGTTTATTGTCAAGGTTGAAGTTGATCGCTCTTTTGCGGAAACTTTCAAGGCTCCCCTGGTATCATTTAATATCACGCGAACAATGTTGATGCAATGTTAATCTCTTTCAAGTTCGCTTTTTTTTCGTCCGTGCTGATAATGGAATATCCTCTCGTTTTCTCCTTCTCCCTTGCTGTCCAGTAGTTCCAGTTTCCGATAGTGAGTAACACGTGGTGATAAATCAGTTGGCTGGACGTGAACTGGCTTCGTGAAATTCCGGTTTTCACGGCACCGCGAACGCGGTCCACGGTTATGGAGGTTGTACACGAGGCATTCGAGATATCCCAGTAACGATCCGTCGACTGTATATGTAGCTTCTTGGCAGGTTTCCCTAGTGTCCCTACTTTTTATTCGTTTCATCTTGCCGCGGTCGCTTCGCCAAGTCTAGTCCTAGCACTGACTTAACAAATTGTCCAAATCGGAACGTCGCGCAAGGAACGACCTTGTGAGTTTCACTGGAAGACCGTGAATTTCAAACAATTTATATATGTCGTACAGCTGAGATTTAATTTATATAAGTGGAATAATGGTCGAGAGAGATAAATTCCTCGGCGGTTTTGCTGGATTCACACTGGATCCGACGTGTGTCGTACGACATTCTGCAATCATCGATACGAAATAAAATTCTGCTTTCTGATTGGTTGCAGAGTGTTGTACGACGCACGTCGAATTCAGTGTGAATCCAGCATCTCTTCTATCCGGAATCGCGAACAAGAACTGCCCTTCGGCAGTTACTTTTCAGCGAGGGAATTACTTGTTAGAACATGCCGTTTCCGATACACTATTACCGCGCATCTACATATATCGCAGAGTCACCGTAAGTCGTCTTTCCATCAGCAATCAGCATCTGCTAAGTCGACCGCACGATAGCCCGACGGACGGGAATCAATACGTGTTCAGAGTTTACAGTTTCCCGGAGTTTCCGTACACAAATTCCACTGCAGCATTAGCTATCTCTTGAGTGGACATGGGATACAATAAGCCACTCGGCAACCTCAGATTATTTTTATAAATATTTGTTTACACTCTCGCTTACACTTCAAATATAATAACACAACAATTTTTAATTATACATAAAGAACGACTTTCCTAAAATAAACAATATCTTTATTTTAGACCGTATATGTGAGAAACACAATCAATACTAGGAATTTAAAATGCCTATTACGGTCGAAGCTGGATCTTCGTTGCTTTAAATAATTCAATTTTGAATTACTAATATATACTTGCATATGTACCATATTGTAGTCTTTTTTTTTCAAACTGCGCGCCGAATTATTTTTCCTTTCCGAAGGCCTCGGTGGTCTAATGGCTTAGGACGCTCATACGGAATACAAGAGATCCGGGTTCAAGTCCCAGCCGAAGTAATATTTTTTGCAATAAATTTATTAACAGTTTTTAACATATTATCTTTATAATATATGATGCTTGATGGTAGCATCGAATTATTAAATTGCTTGTCAATTTAATTCGCGATTACTAGAGAGTAGTTTTAATTGCGTTTATTTAGTCCGGAAAAATAATTCGGCGCGTAGTTTGAAAAAAAAAACACTACAATATGTGCAAGTACATATATAGTATATATTAGGAATTCAAGATTGAATTATTTAAGCAACGAAGATCCAGCTTCGACCGTAATAGACATTTTAAATTTCTAGTATTGATTGTGTTTCCTAAAATATTCAAAAATTTAGATACAAATCTAAAAATGCATAATTTGGCTTATAGAATTGAAACGCAAAATATTCTCAATATCGTGACTTTTGATAAACAATACAGATTGTCCTATGAATTACGATTCAATTTATTAACATCTAATATACAATTCAAACGTTTCAACTTTAATAAGTTTTCATCAGTGTTTACTTTCAATCTATTAATTCTTCAAACCCCTACATTAGATTATTGATTTTGAATGAATTCCTATCATACATTAAATAAATTAATAGTAGTTTACATATATTTAGGTTCAGTACTTTTCTTATATACGTTATTTTAAATCGACGTCTTCATCTTGTCAATATTGTCACTAAGTCAATGTTGTAACGTCAATGTTATCCAATTTTTCAATTAATATCGAGAATCTTATTAAGTCAATTATAGCCTAGTCTATCCTTTTTTTTCTCTTTATCTCACTTAACGAAACAATAGAGAAAAGAAAACTAAGTTTTGGACAGGTCTGTTTCAGCAGCTTGAATGTCTTACATAATTATTTCGTTAGTTGAACAAAATTATTTTTAGATCTGCATTTAGCTAAATTTTTAGATATTTCGACAAAACAGTTTTTTCCCCATTTATATAAGAATAAGTTATATTCTTTTTGCCGACATTATTTGATTAGTCAATAATTTTCTGTCAAGTTAAAAAATAATTTTTCCTCTTTTCTGAAAAACTTAATTTTTTGAGTTGTTTCACTTTTGAAGTAAGAGACCGATATGTAAATAATATAAATGCCGCGATAACGACGGAAAATCAAGACATCGCTTTCCTTTTCTCTACGAAATTACGATGAAAGGGTTAATTATAAATTTACTTGATACGAAAAATTATACGGGTACGGAATGAATGAAGTTTTGGAGATACGGAGCATTAGGTGCATTCAAAACAATAAAATCGCGCTGCGCGTTCACTTGATGCGAAACGCTATCATGTCTCTTGATCGTATCAATGAGTGCATTCAGAACAATTAACAAGCGTTCGCTGAACGCTCAGTGAACTCTTTTATCTGATTAGCATATTCCATTAGATCTTAAAATATAGACCAATCAGATGAAAGAGTTCACTGAGCGCTCAGCGAACGCTTGTTAATTGTTCTGAATGCACTCATTGATACGATCAAGAGACATGATTTATTTCAATCTTATTTATTTCGTGAGATAACGCAAGAGACGTGAGGATCGAAATAATAAAAACAAAAGGGTGGTTAATAAGGAACACAAAGGTATACAAAACAAGTGGTTATACTCTTTAGGAGATGATACAGCTTTCTCTAAGAGATAGGGGATGATCACGTTACCTCAGGGTAATCGAACCCTTTCATCGTTTCTTCGCGCTCTCTCGCGTAGTTTATCCTTCTTCTCACCCTACCTCATCCGCTCGTGTTATTAACATCCTCGTAGAGACGGGGTATGTAATCTCGTATCATCTCGTTGACGGACCTTCAATAAACGATGTACATCGAGAAGCGTGAACCCTTTGATTAGAAAGGGTAAAATGATTTTTCCCATGAACCCGTCGGCATCGTTGCTCGCGTCAGGGATCAATATTAAACGGCAATAATACTTTCACTGCGTCACGTTTCAGAGTTGTTGTTTGTCTTCGGAATACGATATACCGAAAGCAATCTCATCGGATATATGTATAATAAATGGCTATTGAGACCAATAATAGTACACACCTTTATTTTCGGTTACCGTTTATCCGTTCTATTTTTTGCTTTTTGATTCGTATTTCGATGCGACTTATATTTTCGTTTCCACAATGTGAAAATAATATCCGATAAATTCGAGCCAGTATAAATAAATATACAAATGTATTTATGTATAGTTACATCATATAATTTTATTCTGATTAGCCACTAAAGGTAAACTTAGATCTATGACGTAACAACAGGTGGGATAGTTTGATCGAGAGACGCAATTCTTTTACCTACCGGCAGGTAAGTACAAATTTAACAAGCACGATTAAAAATTTACTCACGATTTTATGGTGAAGATGTTGAAGTTCTCTTTCGGTTACTCTTCTACGGGACAACTCGCGTTGCTCCTGCCTGTACTGGTTGTACTTGTAGAAGAGATACATCCCGGGTAAGGCTAACACCACCAGAGGTCTCATGAAGCTGGACCGTCCACCCTCACGAGGACGTTGTTCCGGTAATTCTGGGTCCTCCTGCGGCTGACCGGCTCCCTCAGCGACAGCCGGCACGGCTGCACCAGCTGCTGGCATCCTTCTGCAAAATACCAAACAAATTCAGAATTAAGTCTCTTATTCTGAATTAGATAAATTATGAATATTTTTCAATACATAATAGAAAAGAGAATATTAAGTTTTAACTGTTTTTCAGCTAACAAGAAGTAGTTTCGAGATGTATAAAATATTACATTAAAGAGCTGCTTAAGTCGAATTGTGTGATGATTGTTTATTTTGGAAAAATATTGACAGCAAGAGAAACATCTCTTGAACAGCAGAGAAAAATCTCCTTTTAAAGCCTTCACAAGAAAAGAATGGTTCTGCTGAGGTATCTAAAAATTTAGCTAGATACAAATCTGAAAATAATTTTGCTGAACAATCAAAATTAAGCAGAAAAAATTATGTGGAAAACTCAGGCATGAACAATGCTATGAAAAATTTGGACGTTCTAGCAACGTCCTACATAATTATTTTGATATTCCAAAATTATTATCAGATCTGTATTTGGCTTTTAGATACTCCAGCCAAAATCGTTCTCTGTATAATATTTATGCCCGGATTCATAGTCATACTTTATACTTAACGTTTCCTTAAATTTATCTTTAGATGCTCAGTAGCCGATAAAATAATTCGTAGAGTATCTGAAGATAAATTTAAGGAAACCTTAAATATAAGACCTGACTATGAATATGAGCAAATAATTTATGCATCTCGAAACTTCTTCATGTTAGTTGAAAAACTGCCAAAACTTAACGTCCTTCTATTTGCAAAAAAGAAAGTTATATATTATGTTGAACAATTTATATCTGGATAATACCTTTTTTGTTCTAAATATTTCTCTCTGAATTGTGCTATAACTGCAGCATTATTGTGAAGCTTAATCAGCTAACGACAAGGAATTCTCAGTGACCGACACGATGTACTACTGCGCCGCACAATATACTCGTCCCGGTGTGCATTGTGGCTTCATTGAAGATATCGAACCACGATGCCAGCTATTCCGCTCATTTGAAGAACATCCGGCGAACTGAAAGCGTCTAGCTCGATTATTGTAATTTCCGATTTTTTTCACTTAATACACACGCGTTTTAACATTTCAGTCTCTTGGGGTTTCCCTTAAATTCTAAGGTATTAATTCTCGCGAAAACGGCGTGATCGACGACACGCGGGATTTTAGTTTTTTGTTGTCAAACGAATGACGAATTTTAGGACAAAGGAATTAGCTATTGCTTATTGGTTCCCATCAAATTCATTTTTATTTCTATCCTCCGCCGTTGCGATACCGGGCCAGTAGGCGCGCATAGGTCGTTGTAAACTCCCAACACGAACTTATCCTTCTACTTTTTCTGTCATTTCTAGATATTTATAGTCTTCTCTAATGTATGTGTATGTGCTTCGTGCTATGATATCTAGAGGAAAATGGTTTCCCACCCGCATATATCCTCAAATCTCGCGACTTTAATCTCGCAACTGTCGCAGCTGCGATTATTTCCGCAAACTCTAGTATAGGTTTTTGTATTTCTTGATTTAGAAGCTACAAAAAAAATAGACAGACGTTTCGCACTTTTTAAGCTAGATACGCCTTTATATAAATTCGTATAGATAGCACGATATATTTTTAATTTTGTTTTTTAATATAAAAATAAAAGCAAACTTTTTTTTATTTCGATAAGAAACTGTAGAACTATAGAAAGTGCCTAGAAAGTGTAAATGAAACTGTCATTCTTTTTTACATTAACTAGAACAAAACAGTACGCTATTCGTACGCTATTCGGCATTTAATACTATTAAAAAAATATACATACAAGTGGTCAAAATGAATAGTCACAATCGCTTATATTTATATCAAATATAAACGACCACAGTGAGCAGCGTGTAATGTAAAGTGTACTAAAGTATAATTTTCTTTTATTTCTTTTATAACAAAAAAATGACAAAACAAAAATACTATCATTTTCACATTACCTTGCGGTAGACAGTATGATGTGCTTTTTAAAATAGGTTTCCCCATTAATCCACTTCTCATAATATTTATCCTATTATATTCAGAGGACGTCGTTAAAAATTTTAGAATGTTTTTTGAAAAAGCTTAAAATGGTTGGATGTTTTTGATATTTAAATTTGCTTTGGGGATCTTTATTACATGCACATTAATTTTTTATCATAAATCTTATTTATTGTTACATTTCAATATAATCAATTTGATTTTCCTTTTTAAATTCCATTACACCTTCAGTATGGTAAAAATAAAGAATATGAAATTTCATAAGAAATTTTCTAAATTAACATTTATTTAATATCACTCTGACATAAATACGGTAAATATTCAGAAGCCACAAATAATTTTAAGAACTCCCCATACTCCCTCTCTTGCTCACGTAATGATTTTTCATGAGAAGCGAAATCCATCTCACCTGCTCCCTGCTAAGGGACGCACGATCTTTTACGCAAAGCAAATTTCAACCCATCTTCTCCCCTGCCTGAAAGCGCACGACTTTCCACGCGAATAGAGTTCCACCTCATCTCCCCTCTGCCAAGGGGGGTATAACTTTTTATGCGGATAAATCTTACTTTGACAGGCGGGAAGATGGGGTGGAAGATGGAACTCGCTTTGCGTGGAAAGTTGTACGCTCCTTGGCAGGGGCGGAGGTGAGATGGAACTCGCTTTGCCTGGAAAGTTATTATGCCCCATAAATAAAGGATGTAAAATATTTAATTTATGTATATACTAAAAATAAGACAATATTTCTTAAACTTCTTTTATTAATAACTTTTTAACGATCAACGAGCGACGGCTAAAATCTGTTGGAGGTTACTCCAACTTAGGATCATGATCTTGACAACAAATGTCAAAGTCAAGGTCATCTGCGCTGGCTCCCTCCATCTGAATATTAACTATAAATACATATGAAGACTTTAAATTTATGCAGAACTTTTAAGAAATATGTTAGCTCTACAACATCTAATTAATGAAAATCATCAAAACTTAAATCTATATAATATTAATATATAACAAAAAAGATAAAGTGTAAAAATGTAAAAGCGTAAAAATAGTTCAACTTTATTATTATATAATACAATAATGTATAAAAAATAAAATAGTATTAGATATCATTACAGATTAAAAAAATTAAATTTTTTTTAGAATTGAAGTTTAAAAAAATATATTTCTTAATTTATAACGTATTGAGTTTATAAAAGAAACTTATTTGTATTATTAATAATTTTAATTTGATTGCATTTTCAATATTAAGAATCATACGATTGAAACGTCTGGTTTAAATTTTATTATTGTTCATAATTGTATTAAGCATTAAAAACCTTATGCGTAACTCTATATTTTGTCGTTTAAATTAAATAAGAGTCTTTCGTATTTTGAATAAAAATAAATCTTAAAATATAATTACGTAAAATATAATTACGTAAAATAAATATTATTAGTATCTAAAATAAACATATTATTTACAAGAAGAGCTAAAGTGTTATTACATCCACTGCTTCCACGCCTTCATCTACACTTTTATCCTCTCTTACTTTCCATTACTTTCCAACATAATCTTTTCCTTCCTTCTCTCAACATAAATTTTTTATTTCATTATGTCTCATAACACCGAAGAGACAATACATTGTTTTATTTCTTTTCGCATTTCTCTAATTTCAACCAATTTTCTACGCCAGAAACACTTTTTATTTTTTGACTAAAGAAATTTTCGTTTTTTACATCAAAGGTATTTATTCGTATTAATTTTAGCTGTTATAAATTAAAAATTCATTTAATATATAGATATACATTTTGCAAATTTAACTTTTATTAATTTTTGCTATGTATCATCTCAATCTATTATATTGTCTGTTGGCTATTCATAGCAATTTCTTCTTTTTACTGTAACAATAATCTTGCGCTGAGAGACATAATTCTTGTATATTATATTTTACCTACAGGACTAAATTCATTTCATGCGTTATATTCTCTGTTTTACTTTATATCGAAAGACATTATTCAAGCTATTCAATGATTGACTGTAATTAACTATTGTCATGCAACGACTTTTTCCAAGCTACATTATAACTGTGAACAGGATGATATTCGTTTTTATGTTATCAGCGTTTGTTAGAGAGAGCGAAGTATACATTTTTATTATATTTTGTTTTTTTACTATTATTTTGTTTGTAATATTATATATTTTTAACATTGATAATGATCCGATCGCGATCAAAACGTTTATTCTGTTTATTGCTAGCATTGTATTAAATTTTAACTAAATGATATATTTGTTTCTTTTACTTATGTTCAAACAACTTTTATATTAACGACGTTTAATTTTATAAAATAATTTTTGGTTCGTAGCCCTTTTTCTCTATTGATTTTTTTAAATTTATGAGCTTTATTACTAATAAACATTCTAAAGTATTATATTATGAGGCGTCGAGTGACTTGCCACTCGGTGTGATTGATTCGCGATCTGTAGATCCGAGTTCAATCCCACCTACGTCCACATATGCGATTTTTCGCGTTTAAGCCGCGTTTAGCTAAAAATGATTTCATCTGGTGATTAAAAGATCTATGATCACCAGCGCAGTTCGGCTGTAGGTCCCATATATTATCAGTGGATATACATATATACATTCGTCAACACGCATGGTAACCGTTGCGTTTTATTTCCTAATAATTTCGTATAATGTATGAACACAGTACTTGGCTTACTCTATATGTAATCACTTTACGATTCCTTTACGATTCCCTTACGATCATTTACGATTTCATTTTGCACGAATGTTCTATTTTTATTCCAGTATTTCATGATATAGTACAATTTATTTTAACAAAACAAAAACTGCGCACCGTCTACAGCGCCAATCCCCAATTGCCTGTTTATCATTTGTTTACTTTTTTTGAATTTAAAATATTATGTTTTAATCTATTCTGTATTCTCAACCATTAATATATTTCATATTGTATGTATTGCATATTGTATGTCTTTTTCAATTAATTAAATTTTCAATTAATTAACATAATATTGTTCATGTAACGTTATTAAAAGCGTCTATGTAATATATTATAGAATGGTGTACTAATTTCACAATTCTATGTAGATCTGTGAAGTTAGCACGACATTCTTCTAATTTTCTAATATAAAAAAAATAATGGCAGTTCCAGTAGCATTCCTTTCATAGTTCTACAGTTCCTTATCAAAACAAAAAAGAATTCCGCATTTATATTGAAAAATCAAAATTGGAAAAGTAGCCAGAAATCTGTTTAAAAATAATTGTAGAATATAGAATTTTGTTAGAACTGAGAAATAAGACTTGGAGTTTCCGAAAGGCGCTACATACCTATTAAATTAAATCAGTTGACCATCATTATTCGATGTAATTATACAGTTGTAAATTATTTAATCGATCTATGCTTTTCAACACGTTAATCCAGCTGGCTCCCCCACTTAACCAATTCTTAATGAATAAATCATATAATAATGCGCTATTTATGCTCTCTCAAAATCTGCAAAAAAATTTTTTTGTGCTCATTTCGCTTAGCTAAAGTAGCTTATTATTATATAATTTATTCATTAAAATTTGGTTAAGTGGGGGAGAGAGGCAGCTAAGCAGACGTCTTTTCGATTCCGAGATGGGAAATACACTTAATGCAAAGAAAACACATTCATCTGCTAGTGGTGTGTTCGAGTTGCCAAAACGGAATTGAGAAACATTCTCAAGTACAAAATTTGACGTTCACTGATGATGGCCCAGAGAGCAACTGAAACGTATGAAATAAAATAAATGCAAATCAAATAATTATCTATATTTGATAATTTGTGCACCGACAACTGCGCGTGATATCTCATATGCCCAATTTTATTCTAATTGTTAATTCGATTAGAAGAGTCTAAGAATTTTTTTGTTATTGATTCTAACAAGAAATATCGTGAAATTGCGATAAATTAATTATCAGCACAATATTTTTTGTAAGTGATGTCTTCTACATTTAAAGTCTATTAAAATTGATAATGATTGGAATTTTGTTTTTAAATTACATACACATCGACTCAACTCGAGTAATAGGGTAAGGTTACCGAAATTACACTTTTCACTTAAAGGCTCAATTTAGAAATTATGAAGAATATCCTTAAGTTTTTTTACAGCATAATAAACTGCACTCTTTTTCCTGTCTTATGTAATTTTTTTGCGCTATTATAACGTTTAAAATGACTTTTCTTTCAGTATGGTGCGATTTTGGCAACGAGGAAATT